TTTATTTATTTCTCAGTTTCCTGGAATTTAAATAAGGTGTTTTCGAAAAAAAAGCCTTTCTTAATTGGAAAAAAGGATTGTTGTTTAGACACAGCGTGTTACACCTGTGAGCAGAGTCCTTTGTAGTGAGAAAGAAGAAAGACTGCAGATAGTGGATGACGCAACTGCTTTCCAAAATACTTATTCGCTGGATAATGTTTTACCTGATGCATAGCCCTGTTCAACGTTTGAACAACCAGGGCCAGGTGACGGTTGTTCAAAGGCTAAATAGCGCTAATGTAACAATGACAAAAAAGAACGCGTAGATCATTAACGTAACAAACAAAAAACAGTGCGCAAATCATAAATTCTGATTTAGCAACAGAACGGGAACGTCAATTGACAACGGCGCGCGCAAATCAAACAACGGCCTTTACCAATAATTGGGTACCGGAAGTGGCGTTTAGTCCTTTTCGCGCGCTTTCCCGTCGTCAACTGACGTTGCCGTAGCCTGCGAAAGCATCCGTTTCTCCTTCGCTCTACGCCCCCAGCGGCGTAGAGCGAAGGAGAAACGGATGCTTTCGCAGGCTATGCAAATATATGCCCGTGATCATATAGAGGTTCACCCACAGAAGAAAAAGGAAGTTCTTTATTTGGTAAAAAAAAAAAAAAAACAACGGAACATTATGGATATAAACTGTGAAGTACTATTGCAAGAATTTAACAAACATCTACTTTTCATTTATAACAATGCTATAAAGTCTTATTGCATTTTTTTGTGAATAATGTTGTTATAAATGTTATTAGAGTTTTGGCTATCCTTTTCATCACTGTCTTCAGCATCACCATCAATGCTGCTGTGAGCATCTTGATCATCATCATTTATGTCATCAGCATTGATACAATCAATTTCATCATCATCATGATTTTCACTTCAGTTGAAGCGTAGATATTGCTTGATAATGTCCTGTGATTCATTGGTGAACAATCCGTTCTCAAACGCATATTGGATATATGGCCTTTGTGTTTTGAGGAGACATTTATTCCTTCATAATGAAGAGATAATGGACCAATAGGCTCTGTTACTAACATCATGCGACTCTTACTGAGGTGCAATGGTTTCAATAACTCTTTTGAAGTTGACTTCCATTCTTTTCGCCCTAGCTGTTTTTTGCTTTCCTTTTATTTTGTTTCCTTTTTTTTCTTGTTAGCTTGGAATACTGCACCTTACAGAGCCTGGAACATTTTTCTTTCAATTCTGTAAGGTGGGGAGGGTCATGATATTTTAGGCCAAGCTCAAGGGGAGGGTTAGCAAATTTCACTCCCATTGCAGGGATGAGTCACCTAATTTCTGAACCCAAATTTGAAATTCCCACCCCCTCTCCCCCACTGCTAATTTCTGACAAGTCCCTAAGAGCGCGCAGGTCATTAATAGGGACCTTACGAAACTACGACGGCGACGGCTACGGCAACATCAAAAAGCAATAGATTTAGTTGGCAAAACAACAACTCTGCACGTGCATCACGCTTTTTTGTACATTTCTTTGCCGTCTCTGCACAACTACGACTTGAAATGACCAAATTTTAAGTTTTTTCGAGGACGGGAACTGCAAGCGCTTAATTCCGCCATCTCTGTCTGAACTCGGGCGCGGCCCCCCTCTTCAGTTCCAGCCTAAATTCCTTTCTTTTAAGTGACAGGGCGACTTGTGAAAATCGCGAAATGGTTTGAAAGGATGCGAGGTCTATTTTTCAGTGACTTTTTCATGGACGTCGCCGTTGTCGTAACAAATACAAACTAGAGCGCGCGGGTCATTAATATACCAAATACAAACCAGAGCGCGCAGGTCATCAATGTAACAAATACAAAACAGAGCGCGTAGGTCATTAACGTACTCAAATACAAAACAGAGAGCGCAGGTCATTAATGTAAGAAATACAAAAAAGAGCACGCAGGTCATTAATATACCAAATACAAACCAGAGCGCGCAGGTCATTAATGTAAAAAATAATATAAAGATTTAGCCAGGGTCAAAAGCGAAGCTCTGGTCAACAATACTTATACAGCAATGAAAATGGCATCAGGATCAATAGATCTAATTAGCAAATTTGTGCTGCACGTGCAGGAAGGAGGAATTGTCGTATGTGCTTTCCAAAGATTTTGTTTCCTCTGTTCATGTTGACTTTTATTTTTTCACTGCCTCTCTCACGACTTTGTTGTTCTTTTTTCTCTCTAAAAGTCCGGGCGACCATGCGATTTCCTTCCAAATAAAACCTTGAGTTGCATTTAGGTTCCCATACCTGTTGATTGAGTTATTTTACATTGGTGCACCTGTGGTGCGGGCGGTCAGAGGGTCGGTCGGACGTACGGTCACGTGACTACCAAAATTTCTCGGATGCATAGGTTACCAATTTTCTTGGCCATGGTGCTCCGCTACAATAAATAGCGTACAGGTCATTAATGTAGAAAATACAAAACAGAATGCGCAGGTCATTAACGTAACAGACACAAAATAGAGCGCGCAGGTTATTAACGTAAAAACCACAAAACAGAGCGCGCAGGTCACTAATGTAACAACCACAAAACAGAACGCGCAGGTCACAAAAAAATTAATACAAAACAGAGCGCGTAGGTCATTAACGTAACAAATACAAAACAGTTCGTGCAGGTCATTTATGTAACAAACACAAAACAGAGCGCGCAGATTATAAATGGAAGAAACAGTTTGAGTTGTGATTAACTGCAAAATTCTCTCTCCAAAGAGTTTTCAAGCCCACATAATGAGTTAACTTACTCATATGTTCGTGAGAAGTCCTGGATGATGGTTTGGATTTTATTAACGATTCACGTTTTGCTGGCGAAATCCGAGAAACCTGTTGTTTGGCGAAGATGGCTTTCATCTTATGACAAATCTATTTTGCGAACTTTGGAAGTCTTTGATGTATTTTTCATAAGGAATCTTGAGAGGAACTCGCGGAAGTTGTTTTTATGAGTAATGTCATTCCCTCTTGGTAATGCATTTATGTCAGGTTTTTGCTCATGTGCAATTTGTTTTTTTAAGCTTAACTTAGTATAGGTTATTCGCTATTTCTGTATAATTAAATTGTTTTCAGAAGGAAAAACAAACTTTAAGAGGAAGGAAAATTTAATTTGATCCCAGTCCACTGCACCACACGGTTTTGTTCGGACGCGCTCCTTTCATCGCACAACCTTTATCCGGCCTGGTAACAAACACAAAACCGAGCGCGCAGAAACGCGCAGATCATCAACGTAACAAAGACAAAGCAGAGCGCGCAGGTTATTAACGTATTCACATTCTTTTCTTTCTTGATACATTTCGCTCTATGTTTATTCTCCGATTTATTTAATTTGAAAAACTAGAAATCCTTCCTCTGTTTACAACAAGTATTCTAAACCTTTCAGGTTAGAGGTAGGTATAAATATTATGACATTTACGCAAGTAGCGTTTCCTTCTTTTATACTCCTTGCTACGTATGCACCAATATAAAAATACTAGCTTGAAGAGCTACAAAACTCTTAAATATTTAGCTCTTTAAAAACAGCTTGTCAAAACTAATTACCGGTACATGTATGTATCAGAACGTTTTAAGTTTTCGTAACTGCCATGATTAAAAATCTTTCCCCTTCTAAGTTTCCACAGTTTAGTGTAGCAGAAGGTGAGAGAAATCAAGCCTAAGTGTCTAATAAGCTTTTAAAACAAGAACACCCCTCGTCAACAAAGGTGTTTGGCTTCTAACAGAAAAACATCAACAACAACGACAACAAATACAGTATGTTGCCCAGTATCCGGACACTTCAGTTTAACATTGAAATAACTTTCCTGCGTTAGTCGCAAGAGCTCTGAAATTTGGCCCAGAGAAAATCTATTTAGTCTTTAATATGACGAAAGACATTTTAACTGTTTTGCCTTTTTTTTCCATCGCGAAATTGATATTTTTGCAGAGCTCCTATGTTGCCCAGTTTCCGGACAGCTGGCCCAGTATCCGGACACAACAAATAACAACGTAATTGTAGATAAATTTCTACAGGCAAGTGACTTATAAGCTTCTCTTGCACTTGTAAAGTAGTCTGGCATGTCGATTCCAAAAATACAACCTAGCATCGTGAAACAAAACATAACAAATGACTGGGGTATGGTGGGGAACGCGAGCGGTTGTTAAATGGCATAATTCTTACTTCCTTGTCTAGGAACTTTTTCACTGTTTTAAGGAGGGCATACGTGGACATGCCGGAGCCGCAGTTTGCTAGCTCAATTAGTCAATCTGGAAACAAGCTTTTTTTCTTCATTCTTTATTAAAACAAAAAAAGCTCGGAGAAGGGACGTACCTCAATGCGACGGTCAAAGGTCACTCTCCTATTTAGTCTGACCTGCAGTGTTGATTTCTTCACGCTCGTCCCTACAGACCCTGCAATAAGCCTGCTTTTCTAGCACTAATTCCTCCTTCTTTCACATCTCTCAATCCCTTTGTGACATTTTTCAGACCGTTGTAACCCCATTCTAGCAGTCACAACTGGGGAAAGTATGAGAATTCCAGGTT